ATTTGATTGCATTCACTACTAGAGCGAAAGACTGTTTTTAAATGATTCTCACACAACCTTGATGATAGGACGATGCAGGAAGCTGCATCTTCTAAGGCAGAGATGGGCAAATAGCGGCCCGGGGGCCTGTAGTACTGATACCGTCCACTACTCCTAGTTATGTCGCGAGCTGCGTACATTATTTCGTTTGGCAGCCAAATACTGCGAAATAATCTGTGAGGCGTTTGTGTGTATTGTGTTTGTTTCCCGGGAAACACTCACAAGAAACACCAGCTGTTGTTATACCTGCTGTGACGTTAAGTTACCGCTTGTAATTATGCCTTTACAAGCTTAAAAGTTGTATTTATCATCTGAATTTGGAGAAACAAGTTCAATATTCTAAAAACCAAGACTTTGTTTATTTGAAATCAGATGAAAACAAACTGTCACGGACCCTGCCGTGTTATCTATGATTACTACGCTTTTCATTCATAATTTCAGCGGGAGGGAGGGGGAGCGGCGCTGAGGAACAGCAGAGTGCGGGTTGACAGGTGTCTGTGTTGACATTCCCCTTATTGTGCGTCAGCAGAGACAGGCTACAAGTGTCTTAGGTTCAAGTTAGACAACTAATGTCTGGGTTAGTGTTCATGACTTCATGTTTATGTCATCTTAATGGTTAATCTCAATGCACACACATTTTCCGTGCTTTCCAATAGTTTAAAATTGTTGTATTCCACTGTTAAATAACCTGTTCAATACAAACATGCCACTTGTAAACATTAAATAACATTTCTGTGAACTACTATTTGTTTAGTGAGCTTATTAGAGGATGTTCCCTGAAAGATTGTACAATATCAATGAAGATGTCAGACTTGGTATATTTGTTAATAATTACATACAATACATAGAATGTGTGTGTGTGTGTGTGTGTGTGTGTGTGTGTGTGTGTGTGTGTGTGTGTGTGTGTGTTCTGTGTGTGTGTTACAGTGTTCCAAGTGAATCTGAGGCCCCCACCACCATCCAAGTTGCCCATCCCTGTTCTAAGGAGTCCAGTACTGGCCATTCAGTGCTCTTCCCTTTGAAGGATAATAAAATAAAAAACATGGCTCCATTTAGCTCTCTTATCTTATACCACTGACCTGTTTATTACAGCTGGCAATCCGTCATTCAGAGCCACATGGTGAAATGTCGTATCTCCTCTATAGCCAATTTGATTCAAGGTGTCGCATATTGACTTCTAAGGACTCAGTACCGCCCACATAAGCACATAATTTTCCTCTTGGGAGCCCGAGCTTCTTTAGCTGGACAGGCCAGGACCGTCCCCTCTATCATGAAACTGTCAGAGCCTGCAGTCACAACACCAACTGATAATGTATTCCTCCTAATCCTACACCAATAATACAACCAAGCTGCAGTTTAGCTCGGCGCCTGACCAATTCAAGTCAATAAATAAATAAAATATCACCAAGGTCCTTGCCTTACCTGACCCTTAACCTGTTAAGCCCGAGAGATCCCGGTACCGGCACACTACCGCAACATCTTGCAGGAAACAGTGTCTGAGGGCATGTTCATAATAAACTATGAATGTTTTATATCCATGTAACGGGAAGAAACTCATCTAACTGATCATAATTTTTTTTTTCAACATAAAACCCACGATGCTAACGCTGAGCCTCTGAATTAGCAACGAGCGAAAATGCTAACAGATGACTGCACTGAAATTCACTCACAAAACCTTATTATTTATCTTTGCTGCACATCCAACACATCGTTTCACATCGTGAGGTGACACAGAATTATGAAATCGCGACTTTATAAACATGTGGCGCTAGGTAGCTAAAAATGCTAATATGGCTCACCTGTGTCTTTGTCTGGTCAAACGTGGTCTTTAATGGCATTAAAAGGATAAAAACGCTGCTGAAGTTAATCCATAGGTTAATCCAATCTGTCTCTGTCCCTTTGAAATGATTTCTGATAATCCATGAGCAATAAATCTGCTTTTCGGTTTCCAGATGTCAGAGCTAGAGACAGCTTCACTCTCATGCAAAACTGCGTGCGCGAAGCCCCCACCTTTTTGTTTTACCATGTCTGTGAGCGGGGAGATTCCCCTTCGATTCCATGGGCTCTAACGGTCAGAAAGAGATCTCAATCACCAAAATCGACCAATG